CCTAATTTTCAACCACTAAATGATTTCAGCTATAGAAGTGTTGAATATAAAAGTTCTATAACTCGTCAAGATCTCTAACTTTTATTTTGGTAATTTCTTCATTTCATAAAGTGTTAAGTGCTTGTTTTAAGTGTTTCAATAGTAGTCTGAACATGTTGCAGTAGTAATAAGTGCATGTTTCAAGTGTCTGCGTGTTACAGCTGTTTTAGTAGTAATAGAGTGAATGTTGCAATAGGTTCATCTGGATGTTGCAAAGGGTAGTCTCACACACATGCATAAATGTAGTCTCACACACATATATAAATATATAGTCTCATACACGTACATAAATATATAGTCTCACATACATGCATAAATGTAGTCTCACACACATACATAAATATATAGTCTCACACAAATACATAAATATATAGTCTCACACACATGTATAAATGAAGTCTTACAAACACACACACTTACACAAACACTCCACGTTCAACAACTAGCTAGCCCGCTGTAATGACTTTTCTCTTGACACCTTTTCATTCCCATGGCAATATGTCTTTGGGCAGGTTCTTTTCCACAACACTGATTTTCTTAGGAAAGTCTATGAATAGCGGCATCTCATCGTAGTTATTGTAAGCTTCAACATCGTCCACGCCATCAACTCTGATAATGTGTTGTTTCCCGAAGGCAACCACGTGCTTTGTCTCCTTCTTCGGGGGGAGGTTACTTTGTGGGTCAGGCATATAGAAAACTTGTGCGACACGTGAAGCGAGCACCCAAGGGTCATCTTGGTAGCCTAGATTCTCGAGGTCCAGGACTCTCAGTCCGATCTTATTCAGTTGGTGTTGTTTGATCCAGCGGCATCGAAATAGGGCCACCGTTATATCCCTTCCATATTCAAGTTTTCATATCTCTTCAATGATGCTAAAGTATTACATCTTTCACCCGACTCCATCGAGAGCTTCTATTCGAACGCCGCTATTTTGGTTCACATATTTACTATCCTTTGCGTGGGTATAGTACATGTACCCATTAATGTTATAAGCTTTCCAAGATGTCACTTGTCTCGATGGCCCCTCCGCCAATCTACTGATGGTAATAGAGTCTATGGTGTCTCTAGGCGGTATGTTTTGGTCCTTCAACCATGTAGTTAGTCATTGCTTGTGCTGTTTCATGACCCAATCATGTGAACGACCATTTCTCTCCACCACAATAATAGCCAAGTGTTCATCAATGTACGGTTGCATCAGTTGTGTACTCTGTAAGACACTGTAATGTGCCCGACTCACTTCTTTGTAATCATGGTCGATGAACACTTTTCTACCACTGGTGCCCTTCCTAGCCAGCCTACCCTTGTGACGAGAATCAGGTTTACCAATCCCTTTTTGTACTTTTAGGTACTCTTGGCAGCACTCGATAACTTCTTCAGTACTGTAACCCTCTATCATGGAGCCCTCTGGATATGCTCGATTATGCATGTATCGGCTTAGAACCGACATGAACCGCTTGTAGGACCACATTTCATGCAAGTAGCAAGGGCTCAGTGCCTGTATCTGATGAACCGTGTGAATCATGAGATGTGGCATTATATAAAAAAAGCAGGAGATAAACACATCTCTAGTTGGTTTTGTGTCTCCACCACAAATTCATGTAGGTCACTCAGCCCTTTCTTGCCAATCGTCTTCTGTGAGATCTTTGAAAAGAAGTAGCACATGCGGGTGATGGTCATTTTCAAGAACTCTGGCTTTATAGCCCTGATTACAATAGGTAGAAACACTGTTAGCATCACATGACAATCATGAGCCTTACAGTATGTTATTGACAAGTCCTTTATCGACGCTAGCTTCTTCACATTCGCTGAAAACCCAGTCGGGACTTTGACCCCCCTCAGGAAAGTGCATATAGCTCTCTTCTCTTCTGGTGTTAGGTTGAAGCACGTCGCCGGTTGAAGCTGTGGCATCATGTTTAGCTGCACCATGTCTTTCCGTGATTTTAGACCATCCTTTGACCTGCCTGTGTACATCAAGATAGCAATGAGACTCTCAAAGACATTCTTCTGCACGTGCATAGTATCAATGGCATGGGGAACCTCCAAGTCTGGCCAATAAGGCAGATACTGAAAGAAGATCGATTGTTTCTTGAAATATACGCCTTCAACAGGAGGTGTGCTTCTATCTCTGTTCGTCCCATCTGAATTCTTCTTTCCATAGACGACGCGTATGTTTTTCACCATTCGGTACACGTGTTCTCCGTTATGACGTCTCTCCGGAGGGGGTTCAATCTCTGGGGTGTTGTCATAAAATATAAAGAACAATTTGATGTGGTACTTGTGACTTGTCTTTAAAAAGCGCCGGTTCCTTAGGTACACTATCTTCTTGGATGCATATAGCAACACCCATGTAGTACCATCCAAGCAAACTAAGCATCCTGTTTTCCCTTTGATTTGTCCAGACAAAGCAAACAATGCGGGGTAATCATTGGTAGTAACAAATATTATTGCTCTACATATGAAGTCCTCCTTTCAGAATGCATCGTACATCGGCTCCCCATGCCTCCATAGCCTCTCCGTTTCTTACATCAAAGGCTCGAGAAACATGTCTATATCAATGACTGGTTGTTTAGGGCCAGAAATAAGAATAGTGAGGAGAAGGTACTTTCTCTTCTAACACAACCACGTTGGAATGTTGTACATGGTCAAGATCACTGGTCAAGTGTTGTGGTCGCTCATCCTCTCATTGAAGGGATTCATTCCATCGGTGCTCAAGCCAAACCATAGATTTCTTGGGTCATCGCTGAATTCTTTGTGCTTCTCATCGATCCATTGCCGCTGACTACAATCAGCCGGGTGTGCAATCTTATCATCATCCACCTTGCGCTCATCATCCCACCATGTCATGAGTGCGGCTTCTTTAGGGTTTAGGAAGATACGTCTCAAGCGGTCAGTCACTGGCAGGTACCATATTACTAAGGCAGGAATTCTTCTCGGCTTTGCATCATTGCCTAATGAAGTGTCCTCTAGAGGCTGAGATTCTTGTACCACCTTTTTCATACCCTTCTTATTCCTCTTTTTCCCCGTGGAGGCTTCGTCCCCACCGTAAAGGTCATTGTTCCTGTACCGGCTAGCCTCACACCGGGGACATTAATCCAGTGAGTTGAACATTTTGCCATGAAAAAGGATACAGTGGTTGGGGCATGCATGGATTTTTTCAACCTCCATTATCAATGGACTTATGACCTTCGCTTGATATGTGTTGGCGGGAACTGAGTTTGGTTGTGGCAGCATCCATGATAGGAGACGCAACAGATCATTGAAACTACAGTCTGACCAGTCGTACTTAGCCTTCAGGATGAGTAGCTCAAGCACAAAACGTAGCAATGTCCAGTGTGTCAGACAACCCTTTTCAACACCATACACAACCTCCTTTAATGCTTTTTTCACCTTTCCAAAATTTTCTAGACCTTTTGGGCTCTTTAGTAAAATCTCTGGTCTAAGGGCTCGAATCATATCCTCCAAATCATCTTCATCCCCGACACGTGCTCTGCCATCATTATTGGCACCACCTTCGTCGTTACCATCCCAACCACCAGCATCACCACCTTGTTCATTGCCAAACTCGGGTCCATTCGTGCATCAAGCTCTACTGAATATTGAGACAGAGATTCTAGGGTTTCGTCGTCGTATTCCTCCTCATCCTCATCGTTAACAATAACTGTTTCACCATGATGAATCCACACTGTGTAGTCCTCAACAAATCCTCGCATAATCAAATATGATATGATGATAGTCACATCTATTCATGCCATACGATTCTTGCAATCTTTACAGGGACAAATAATTGTATCCTTATTTTCTGTCAACGTCGTTGCATGCTTCTCTACGGCTTGAATAAATTTATCCACCTCTTCACGGAAACCTGCCTTGAACCTTAACGAACCATACATCCAAGAGTTCTTGTACTCCATCTTTTACAACAACAACAAAACAAACATTAAAGGACTACTTATTCAGATATATATAAAAATGAATTAAATTAATAATTACTTGAGAATAATTGTACATACTTCAGATATATATGAATATAAATCAAATATAATTACATGAAGCATACAAACACATCATGGTAGAGGAAAATTAATTAATGGCCTATTTATCCATAAATAATTAAAATACATATTTGTTGATTACAATAAATAATTTCAAAGACAACAATTAACAATAATTATATTTTACCCAATATCTTTCATATAAACCCTAGTCCAATTTCATCAAACATAAATTTACAAAAACAAATTTAATAAAAAAACCAAACCCTACATGCACATGAAAACATCTATAAAACTAACTAATTGTTCACTAAAATAAAGAAACATGGACCAAATAAGGGTATGATCTTGTTCTCCTACCTAATTTACTCTAATACATTCAAAACTTGGGTCTAATTTGCTTTATAAGTAGCTCAACCACCATAGAAGAGAGAGAAAAGAAAACATCTAATTACTCACTAACTGACCATTAAAACTTCAAAAAAAGTGTGGAATAATATTTTCTTACCTTCTACAACCTCTCCACCAAAGAATTTGAGACCAAAACCTTACTCCTTAGTAGAACAATTTTTGGGAGGTGCCCAAGGCCTCCCAAGCCTTTTTTTTCGGGTAAGAGTGAGTGACCCGAGGAGGAAGAAGGGGGGCTGTAGCCTTTTGTACGTGCAGCATTTGTAGGGGTGGCTGGTGATTGAGCCGCCCCTACAAATCGCAACATCAGAGGCGGCTGGTCAGTGAGCCGTCCCTACAAATCGACCCATTTGTAGGGGCGGGTCGTATCACCAGCCGCCCCTACTGTGCCATTTGTAGGGGCGGCTGGTCTCGTATGTCCCGAGCACGTCCACTGTAGGGACGCCTCTATCCCCAGCCGCCCCTAAAAAAAAATAGAGCCGTTGCTACGAACCTTTTCTGTAGCAGTGGACGAGAAGCTACTGACGGAGGCGGGGTATGGGTCGTCGAGGCATGTGTTCGTCATGGTGGAGGACGACCTCGGCATCCCGGCGGAGTTCCAGCGCCGCATGATCGCGCAGAGCCCCGGCGTCGAGGTGGAGGCCATGACCGCTGGTGGGGCCGACCACATGGCCATGCTGTCCAGGCCTCAGGAGCTGGTCGACCTCCTCGTCAGGATCGCCATCCATGGAGCGTGATGACATGACCTTGCTGGCGATGTGTCCCCACTCATCAGCAAATCAAATATTCAGTATATGCTAGCTTAATTAGAACGAAAGTCATTGTGACTTGATGGTGTGTCTATGCAACACTTAGACAGAATCGAATATAAATAAAAGCTACTACCTCCGAATGCAATGTGCTGAATTTACCTTAAATCAAACAATCTTGAGTTTTTGACCAAGTTCATAGAAAGAGTACCAACATTTAGTATACAAAATATTTTTAAAAAACATTTACCATACAAAATGGGCATACTACGAAGGTACATCTAACGATACTAATTTAATATCATTAGTACACAATACACACACTTTTTTTATAAACATAGTCAAACTTAAGATGACTACTTCACTTAAAGGTAAAGCAAGAGTTGCATTCTTTTTTGAACTGAGGAGTACTTTGCATGCTGTTGTGTATTGCATCTAATTAGTATGGACCATATTTTTCTTTGATAAGTGCATGCTAGTTTTCGACCATACGTAACAAGATGGGCTTTATACATGTGTTCCCTCTACTTGCTGGAGGTCCATGCTGCACAAGGAAGAGGAGCCTCCACTGTTCTTGGAGGGATGTAGAAGATGGAAGATGTTGATCGTGGCTGTCTTCGCGAGTCAGCTGGAGCTTCATGAATCATATTGAAGTCTAGTGTTTTGCTTTGCTCGTTACGCCACTAGGTGGGCTGAACTTTGTTTTTTTTCCCCTTGCACTTGTAAGCCTATGGCGTTGGTTTTTTCTGTGACTATCAGTTGTGTACCATCCTCAGATGGTAGAGGCTGAAACTGTGTTTCATTATCTAAAAAAAAATGTGTTTCCTCTTACTTGCTGGAGGTTATTGGAGTATGGGTTGAAGAAATAACTGCAATCACAACGATCCCTGCATTGGCAAATACTGTAAAAAAAAGCGTAAACAATTTACACCTGATTTGTTAGCAGAGCACACAGAATATAACAGTAAAAGAAATCCTCATGTTGTCATTCAGAGAGCAGAGACGGTGCTATGACTATATATATCCAGTTGCATTGTCAATCTGAGAAGCATACAAGCATAACTCGCTACGTAGTTAAAAAATCACACAGTTCTCATCAAATAAATAAAACAAACTAAATTCGTAATCATGTCATACATTAGTCCCATTTTTCATATAAATAAAAAAATTCTACACAATCACAAGAAACAACAAGTAGCAGAGTTGGTTGCATGCATGCCCTGCAATAAAACAACAAATGCTTGACTGCATAAATTTTTAGTAGTTTAGTTCTTGTGGAAGTTTAAACTGGGCATGCCTAAGAGATTGAATAATGGAAGACAGTCTCTATTCTGCTTTTCTAGGAGCACAATGTTAAAAAGTAAACTTTTTTTTTCACAACTTCATTCTTATTTATCTTGACAAGAGCTGCACAACAAATTGACTTGGTCATCCATCACAGCAGAAGGGTAGTAACAGGTAGAGAAGATACTGCAACTAGGATGATTTTTCTCTCAATCAGCTGTGAATGCAACCTAATGCCATCGCATGTCTGTACACCAAAAATCAGGAACTGTGAAGTCTTCTCTGGGTACAATTAAACATTAGGGCTAAGGCCTTTTTTGTTTTAAAAAAATACATATTTACTGAAACGAGAGGAACACCAAAGTGGTGGGATAAACAGAACAACACCCATGTTATTTTTAACATATCATCCTCGATGGCTAACTAACTGAAGCAAGAAATCCTAGCACGCAACAAAGGACCGGTGCCTCCAGATTCGAGGGAAAGGAGTTTTTTTAACAAATGAAAGGAGAGAGAGTTAAAAAGTACATATGGAATCAAACAAGCAAGGGATCATACCTCCACAACAGATCCGCTCTCCAGCTCTGGCCATGACTAGAATCTTCACAAAGCCTTGGTTTTGAATAGTGGCAGATTCGACGAGATCAGTGGCACACTAGCGTATCTAACAAATCAACCTTATTTTCAGTAAGAGCCATTACTATATTCTAGTTTCCTGCATAAGAAAGAAACAAAGAACTCTGAGAATAAACAACATGTAAACCGGCACACTCGTTCATATAATACATCCACACATACCCTTTCAGTAAATTCCCATCATAGTTTTTACATGTGGTCCATAAGATCCAAAATATCAATATCATTTCTTTTTAAGCATCCTTCCACCACATAAGTGGATGTTTTTACATGTACATCATATTGGTTCATTTCTAATGACTTATTTAGTATAAATGCACCCTCAAAGGATAAATCACAGATGCAGTTGGAAACTTCTAGCAATGGCTATAATATCATCATGTCTAATGCTATTTCTAGTTGAAAGGTTTGCTACGAGCAGAGGATAGCATAATGGCAATATGCTTGTTGATTGCAGTAGCTGTTTCATAAAAAACATGCAGCTTCCTATTCTGATCATTGTCGTGATATTAGTCTTTGTTTTACAGATTTCAAATTGATGTACTCCTCTAGGTCCTGTAATCGTGTTTGCTGATATGTTGGCAAAACATGTCTCAGGTAGCAATAGGCTGGCTATGTGGCAATCGGCTCCAGCATGTGTAGCTAACTGTTAGCACCCCCTCCTCTGCTTCTCTGAAACACTCTTCTGAAGATGGTGAGGCACAGAGACGGAACCCGATCGGGCCTCCAGGAGAGCAGGCCAGGCCGGCCCGTGCGCGTCGGCCCAACACCAAGATCACAGGCCCTGAATACGTGGCGTAGAGGGTAGTATATTTCCTGGAAGGGAGAGAGGATGAGGGCAGGAGATGTAAAACCTCTTATTTTCCAAGCACTCTTCAGTATATTAAGTACTTACTGTATTTCCTAATTTGTTCGTCCGATTTCTATTCCGTTCTTCCGATTTGTTCTTTCTTCCCGAGCAAGGCTCTCCTTGCTCACACTAACCTGCTGATCGATGACTGTAATCCTGCAGCTTCATGATGAATGAAATCACTGTCGCAAAAAAAAATTACTATATGTGCTTGCTGATGGCAGTTGTCTAAGTCAGATGTACTATTACAGCTCCCAAAATACGTGCTTCCCAAATCCAAAAAAATGAACTTAATAAAGCAGAGATATATGAATATGACTTAGATATGACACTTAGATCCTCGGATGTTAGAGACAGGCTGGAACTTTGTTTCATTATCTTAAAAAAAGATATAATACTTAAATACTATACGAGGGAAAAACATAAGTAGCAACTGCAAGACTAGAAAGTCAATTAAGTATGAGACAAAATACATGCATCAGAGATCATTGCACATCCACACAGGAAGCTTGAATACTCAGTTGTTGGAAGCAAATGACTGAGAAACTAAGACAGGAAATAAATTTGAAAAATGGACAGCATGCAGCTAGGAACCAGGACACTGTGTTTCCGTGATTACCAAGAGGCCAGGTGTCGGTGCCACATTTTGAGAGTCCTAAGTGCATCTGTACTTATGCCAGGATCACGCACAAGTACGCACAAATTAACAGGAATGATACACAAATATATAATAAAAGGTTCCGAGCTTTATTGATATCTAAAAATAGTCTTACAACAGTAGGCCGAATGGTATAATCATGGGCTTACATAACTAGTGGAAGACTATTGCCGTGAAGCGGCATTTTAGTACACCATGGGGGTCTCTAATACGATGGTATTATACCGCGTAGCGATGTCCTATTCCACAGGCAAGTTTGAGCGCGGTCGAAACCCTAGCTTCGATGTCATCTTCCTACGATTGTAATCCTCACGTAACTCCTAATCCTCGTGGCGCGTCTCCTCGTCAAAGTCATAGTCCTCCTCGATGTCGAAGTCTGTGAGTCAACAACGGGTGAGTACATACGTACTCAGCAAGCCCTAACCATATGGTGGAAAAAGAAGTGGAGTAGTGTGATTATAATTAAAGGTTGGGATCTAGCAGAGTATTACCATTCTCACTATTTCATGGGTCGGTGTCAAGGTTTTATTATTCACATTAACCAGTTTCATTACACATAAAGGTATATCTAATCATAGTATCTCATCCTAACATCTGCCAATTCTAAGGACGTGGCTATTCAAATAGGTTTAATGAATCTCTGCAGAGGTGTACAAGTTTTCCCACATGATAGGCACAATCCCTTCCATGATCAGTGGACTGAATAGGTCCAACGAGACCCTATACCCGATTGTACGCGACCTTAAATATCCATATAACTCTACCATGGCTTCTCGGGGGTTGTAAAACACACTAATTTCGGGAGGATACCTAATCGTCCCATCTCATAATTCCGGATGATACCACGTCATCCCATCATATAATCTCGGACGGTACCCAATTATCCCAACATAATAGTGCCGATGATACCTAATCATCGTAATAAACAATAATATGGGCTCAAACGCGGCCAAAAATATAATAACATGGGCTCGAACGTGGCCAAAAACCAAAGGGGCTTAACGTGGAGGATCACATAGCAACCACGCCAACCGGGCCATGGAAGATTACATAGCATCCGTGCCTTCTTCTGATATTCTGCTGCAAACACCGACCTCCTAGTAGAAATTATACTTCTATCTAACGGGGTGTGAGATTAAGTCTACCCATATAGACATGTGGCTGTACATAATATCTCACTAGGCGAGAGGGACTACGAACCGGTCCTTATGTAACTGAGACGAGCATCTCCCCACAGTAACCCTCTCTAGGCAATCATGCCATGGTAATTTACCTCCATAAATTAACACCACTCGCCCCCTGTCGGGGTTTAGTTTCAGGTTACCAATTTTAAGTTCCATAAATTATTATCCCTAAGTTCATTCGTATCATGGAGTAACCATTTATCTTAATTTAACATTAATCATATCATAATAACCAAGCTCATATTCCAGGATAATAATTCAATTAATCAGGTTTATGCATTTTGTAATAATTAAAGCAAGATGGTAGAAGAGAGGGGGAGCTAGGACTTGCCTTTGTTGTTGTCTCCTTCCGGCACCATCTACGTAGTCCGGGTCC